CCCCTAATCCCACAAACCAAATGAGTCCTTAACATCACTCTCATCTCTAAATAATAATAATTGATACTAGCTTGATCCTTGTAATTCTATGGAGCTTTCTAAATGTTGGTGTTTATCCACTGAATATGGGATTTGTCGCAAGTTATGGGCCCCAGACCATTTAGCAGGTTCTATGTCCTTAACCCAAGTGTTGKTGGTTTTTTTTTCCTCTTAAACCATATCTTCATAAGGAGCAATCCGACATTAACGGCTGTATTTTGTGTAGAAACACAAGAAGCAGCCATAGCATAGAATTGACCTGCATGGATTCTCAACCAGAATTTACCATCTTAATAAGTACCAATGTAGCAGACAAACTATTATTGGTCATTTGGCCCTTCCTCAGGGATGACTCCATATCCCCCCAAAATCTGCTTTATCAATTATCAATGATCAAAGTATGAATCCTTAACTTTGTCTCTTTTCATATGTTACATGCCAAACGTCCCATTGGAATCCAATGCTATTGCCCACTTCCCCGAAACCCCACTCCAAACCCGGATATCCGACCCATATTTTCTTTCTAAGCTAAAATCATGGTCTCTTTTCAAGTAATGGTGCCAGTTGTTGATTATTAGGCCCCGTTTGTTTGTTGGTATTCTGCGGGAATAAATTGATTAATCAGTCATTGACCAATTTCCCTGCATTTCCGGGTAGATAAATTGCTTATCCACCTGTTGGAAATGTTAATTCTCTCTTGCCTTCATCTTTACTGCCCCAAACACTGGCACCAAATGTTATTTGGGCAACTTTTTCCTGAAAATCACTTATGTTTATTGAGGCCTTAATGGGAAGGTTAAAACTTAAAACTGTGGGATGTGAGTAACTTGCATTTATGATAAAACACTAATCCAAACGGGGGTATAGGGTTGAWTTGGACTGGGTCATTGAACTGTTGGGSAGACTTGTTAAAACTTGAATGGACCCGGMCCCGGGTCAGAGCTTATGCTGTATTGTTTCTTCAAATTGGGTACCTTGCATCCCCCGCATTTTTTAGCCTAATCCGAGTCTTACAACATTAATCAAGCATTGCAGCCCAGGTGGTCCGTCGATTTCATGGAATTCAAATGTCAATTCTATTGATCCCCTATGTGATGAACGGTCTGCATAGGCCAGATGATCCATTTTGTGGGGCCCCTTAAATCTTGTTAGCCTCAACATATACTTCTACCTGAAAAGGATAAAGCTTTCCGATAAACTTGCCAATGAAAGCAAATGAAACAATCAATTCCATTCTCATCCCAGACCCACCCAAATCAGATTCTCCGGGGCCAATGGACCGGGAATCCGACCCAACTCCAATCAATTTTAGCACGTGCATCTCACAAGCGTACGCGAGAGATGGGCAGTGGGACCCACCAGACGAAGGTACCCTGCGTGCTTCATCCTTGTTTACGAAATTACGAGTACCTACTTCTCAATCCAGTTCGTTGGATAGATACCCTAGGATTTGGTAATCCAAAGGCGAGGACTCGAGGAATACCTAATCCTTTTTGCTTCTCTTCTAGGGCTGTCAATGAATCGGGTCCGAACCAGTTAGACCGGCTTTGGTTCCAGGATCTAGTATTGATGGATCAGTTTTATTTCTTGACTTGTTGTCCTGATCACGGCATTGAAAACTGGACCGGACCAAACAGTCCAACTGATTGACCTAGGAACCAATCAAGCAATCGATTCTATTTCACCTTAAAACCGTTTCTGTGCTAAAAATCATTGATTTGGTCAAAAACCCWTTAATTCGGGTGGTCGAACCATCAACCCACTGACCCAGACAATAGTTTTGGCGTTTTTATTTTAATTATACTTTAACTCTTTAATCAGAGCGGGCTGTCCTTTCAAATTGGATGGTCAGACCGTTTGACCTGGGAGCCAGTCCCCAAAATGGTTGTGTCCTGTCCGAATTTTAAAACGTTAGTCCTGATTATTATCGTTTTGGAATCGAGTCTACCAAATCCCGAAATGATTTAAGTTTAATTCGAAAAATGTATAATACCTATCTATCTATCTATGATTGGTTCCGTTCTGGGTCTAAAATTATAGATATAGGCCCAGGTCTGGTATTTTTCATGTAATCTTTCTTTATTTTTTTTTAAATTTCAATTATTTTTTGGATGACCCGAATTGACCCATAGGTCAACCCTAACCTAAACATTTAGGGTTAGGATCTAACATTTGATAACACAACCCAAATTCAACCCAAAGTTTCTTGACCCAACTAGAACCCGACCCACCCAACCCAATTGCCAGGTCTACACAGAACCCAGCGATGAGAAATGAGCATGCCTGACTGCCTGGCCCAGGCGGGCAGCCCCCAGTCCTGCCCAACTTTTCCTCGGTTTAAAAGCTCATAACGTGAAAAAGGGTAAAGAGGAAACTAGACAAAAATCCTGTGTCCCTTTGTTAGTTTGTTTGCTTTTACTCAGGAGCAGTTGGGTCTGTTTCGATCTTTCAGACCCCCAGTCCTCTTTAGATTTTCTAGGGTTTTTATTCAGGGCTGTCTCTCAGCCCTTGAGTGAGGGTGATGGGTGGTTCCTAGGCCGAAGCTTCTTGGTGTTTTCATGGAAGGGAGTCTGGTTTGTTTTTCGTCTTGGAGGTTATGATGGGCGTTCCTCCAAAATGGGTTTGCTCTTTTCAACGATTTAATGCAGTGGTTCTAGTGCGCTATGTAGCGTCTATTTCCATTTAAGTAGACATTCTCAGAGACAGCTTTTTCAGTTTCTCCTAACTCCTGCACCTAGCTGATTTGAGTGGTTTCCATTAGAAATACTCTAGTTAGGTTCATCTCAGTGAATCCTAGTTAGTATGAGCGGAAGCTCCGGGATTCCCGCTGCCTATACTCTGATCTCTGCTGAGAAAATCTCAAGTGGGTTTGAAGTTTGAACTTGAAGTTGCTTCTGAATTTATTTTTCATTTCTAACTTCTGTGGAGGCATTACCACAGGTTGTTAACTCTGAATTACAAATTTCTTTCTCGAAAGAGAGAGTTARGTTCAGACAGTGCTCTAATTTGATCAGACTTGGTTGCCTTTGAAGTACAGAAATGTGTTGGTTTCAGGGAGTGTAGTTTCTGGGTTTTAGACATAGTAAAGGTTAAGCAGATTTCCTTTCTTCTCTCCCCAACTTTAGAAATTAATTGTCCGGTTGCACTAGTCCCTCCAATGGCTCCATCTGATACGAGAAGAACAGGAAGAAGACGAAGAACAAGAAGTAAAATTCAATACAAGACGTGCCTTCTCCAATCAGAGAGTCCAGAGCCATCACCACTGGAATCGTCGTSTGCTTCTACCACCACAAGCTCAGATAAGGTATCGAAGATCACCCACGACACAGACAGCAATGGCGTCACTGATATGCCTAGCAGTGGCTGTTCCACTCCAAAGGCTCAAAGGTTTAGAATACCAGAAAACCTGTCGTGTCCACCAGCTCCAAAGAAGCGGAGAGCAGCTTCACACTGTTCATCACTGAGGCCTCCCATCACTTTCTTTGTTCCTCCAGACTTAGAACTCTTCTTCTTCTTTGCACTTCGTGATATATCAGTCTGAATTATGTGTTTGTAGAATTAATTTCAAGAAGAAATAATCAGTTCTGCTAGTTTTAGAGAGGAGGTAATGTATGTATTTTTCTTGTTTGTTTATAGTGTGAAAGCTTGAAGTATTGTATCATCTAGCAATCCTAAAAGCAGTTGTCAACTTTTCTTTTCTATTTCTTCTGTTTGTCAATGCTGCTAGACTGCCCTTTTCTTCTTTCTTTTTAATGGGTAGGAGATTTTATTTTATGATATTAATTTGGAGATGTAAAATGTGATGTAAGGATTTGAAGCTGTGAGAGTTTAATGCTAGCTGCATTAATTTGCAATTAATTCTCCTTTAATTATCAAGTCAAACTAAGAGCGGAAATTAAAGCTGTGAGACTGGTTTGTTTGCAATGCAATTTCATTACCAGTTCAAATGAAATTGTTTAATTGCATTGCAAATAAACAAAATAGAACTGAATATTTCACTAATTGCAGATTTGTCTCCACTTATTCTTTTCAACTCTTTCCCTTCCTTTCTTGCCTTCCCTTGATGGTGGCCTTGRTTTTGGTTATTTTATTCTTTATATTATATAGATAAACAAATAACATTTTATGAACTGGGATTAGATGGGATGCAATATTGCAATGAAGCAATAAAATTTTTGTACCTGACTGCATATGGAGTTAGAGAGGATAAATGTTCAATGGGTTGGCTTCAGTACGGGCTGTTCTTAATCCGACCCGGTGGACTAAATAAAATGAGATACTAAGCTTGATGCCCCTCATTCCACGAACAGTACCCCTATATACAGGGAATGTCATATTTACAAATGTTTCAATGATATTATGTCAATGGGTTGGGTTGGGTATACATGGGCTGACATCAACCCGATCCTAACCCGTAACCCGATTAATGCTGACCCGACCCCTAACTCAATAGGGTTGGGTCAAGGCAGGTTTACCACTTAACCCTACCCACTGACATCCCTATGAGGATTTGAAGTAAGGAGAGTGTATATATTACATAGTATTGTTTTTATTAGCAGTTCTTCTTTGTCTTGTCAAATATTTGGGTCATTCCATCTTTTGGTGAGAGCTGAATATATTTCATTAGGTCTTTTCTCCTCTTATTCTTTTGAACTCTTCTCCATCCACTCCTGTCTTGATAGTGATATTTGATGGTATTACATTAAAAAAAGATATTGTATAAAAAAAAAATTTTTTTTAGTTAGTGATGAAAGAAATTTTTTTTTGGACTTGGGTCAACCAAATAGATGGTGATCACCCACTGTATCATCTGAAGTTGCACATATGATATCATCGGTTCTAATTAATCTGTTTTGGGGTTTAAAGATAGTCATAGAGAGTATGGGATTTTAATTTATTTCTTTTGTTTTTATATATCTGTTGAGATCATAGAGTCAGATGTTAATGTCTGCTTGTCCAGGTTGAGCCAAACATCGGTAAGAGAATCCAATGAAAGAGCTGGTGTGGATGGTGATCATAACTGCTGATGATTTTCATAGAATTTCTCGTGAGCTTATGCTCTCCCAAATTCTATTCAATTAATGTCGGCACTCGGCAGTGTTCATCACTTTAATTATCTAGAGAGAGAGAGAGAGATTGACAAGAAAATGTAATAACGTAGGTCATGAACGCTTTGGCCTCAAAAAATAAGGGAGCTTTTGAATGTAAACAGGGAAAGTGAGTTTCTGAAAGAAGGTGACATTGAGGAGAAGTAGTCCCACGAAATGATTCATTCCATCCCCCAAAGGCCCCTTTTCCTTCCGTTATAGGTCCATATTTGTTGGTTGTCATCATGGTCCTTGGAGCTCATAGCCATGTCCTTGTTCCACTGCTTATAGAAACTTTTGCTTTCCTCTCTCTCTCTCTCTCTACCCAGTAGACATGATAGTGCAGAAGGTTATAATAATATGATCTAACTCTAATTAATTAATATGTTTATCTTGAAGTTGAAACCAAATAGAAGCTCTACAACAAATACCCAGATCAGATGGTTCTAATCTTGGCACAACAAAGATGCTAGTTGGAACATTAATTGGTAGGATATCAAGTTTTTCAAACATGTACCAGTGACAATATTTATGGTGCCTCAGACCATCAGATGACTTTCCCTAGAAAATCAAACCAATTCCCTCTCTGCCAAATTGAAAGGTTCTGATGGTTAAGTGAGTTTATCTGTATAGGAAATGGAATTTTCTAATTCCACCAGATGGCTCCATCCGTTTTGACTTATTTGGGTAAGTGAGTTTATCTGGTGAAATAATTCTTAGACAAAAGTTGGCGGGGTAAATTCAATTACAGTATTCTTGTGTGATATATTATAGGGTAAAATACAAAAACCTCCCTTGAAGTTTCTGACAATCATAAAAAGATCTCCTATAGTTTCATTTTAATAAGTACTTCCCTTGAATTTTTAAGAAACTCGATAAAAACCTCCATTCCATCACCTTTTCAGACGGAAAATGTTAGATTGATGCATCAGTTTTTTTTTTTTTT